AAGGCTGCATCAGCTCAAGCTCACATGCAAACTTGAGCGGTGGACTCATGGGGATATAGGCAGTTAAAAGTGATGATCCTGATAGAGATAATTGAATTTCATGCTCAGCAGAATGGTTTGGTATATGGTTTTGGTAACATAAGCATATATTCTCTAACAAACAATCTTTTGTCTCTTTCATTTGTTTCTTAATTTCATTTCAACTATTACTCTTTAAGCTGAGAAGTGTCAACTTAGAAATGAGAATGTCTAGAAAACTTTGAAGAAGTTTATAATGATATTTACACAAGTTGAGGATAAATGGTCTCCGGCGATTCATTCGGTGTGGGTTATAAAAAACCTACACCGGTGTACCCCGTGAGGTGTACCACTAATATTGCTCCATTTGTACCCATTAAACATGTCATTCTTTTGTTTTCAACATTGGCATTTACATTTAAATCCAGGGTCATCTTAGCAATTTATACATTTTTCATTTTAGCTTATTTTTTCTTTTATGTCAAGTCAATTTTCTTCCACTTTCTCTTTCTTTCTTTCTCTTTCTTTCCTTCTCTTTCATTTCCCTGCAACTTTTCTCCATTGAAGAGCATTCTACTGCAAATTCAAATATTTATGTAGTAGAATTTAATTCTTTTTTGGGTTACAATTTCCTGTCTTTGTCTATGGTGGATGGCTTGAAAATCAATTTTACTCCGTTGGGTTTTGACCTGCGCTACATCATCATCGTGTCGTCCCTTCCCATCTGATGGCCGCCGTCTAGTGCCGACGAAGAGGGGATTAAATCCAGTTTGATTTTGGTAAGGTGTTTTTTGTGACTGAGGGAGAAGAAACCCTCGATGTGGCTACCGCCTGTGTCGTGAGCGGAGAGCTCTCTGGCAGCCGTTAATGGCGGACAAAGACCGTCGAGCTATTATAACAGTTCGTTGATACGTGAGGGTGACCAAGAGCAAGGCAGTAGGTGCTGCAACAGAAGTAGTAAGGCACATACTCTGACTCGTTCGTCTCTCTCACGAGCTCTAAGGCGGCCATTAATGGCCGCAACTTCCGTACCTGGAGCACGACAAACTCAACTCACGACAGCAGCTCTGCGGCGGCGAGATCTGGAGATGGTGTAGGGAGTTTCAGTGGACAGCAAGCTTAAGTCCATGACACACAGCTGGACGTGGATGGCTCCGGTCGGTTGCTCCAAGCTCCCATCCGGAATAGATCTGAATATGAAATTCCAGATTCTTCTATCATCTTTTTTTTTAACATTTCCAGAACAGTTTTAGCGGATTTTGTGTAAATGAGATGAATTTTTTTATTTTTGGGAGGAAATAATAAGTTTATTTGGATTCTCGTCTTCTTTGATTTCTGCGTTCTCTTCATACCGAAAAAAAACTTGAACAATGATGAAGAACCATGATGAAGACGCATAATAAAATTACCTAAAATTTGTTCTAGGTATTTTTCTCTTTTCTTATTTCTTTTCTTAAAATTCTGAGTTTAATTTTTATTGCTGTTAATTCATACCTATTTTTTAAAATCAATAACGGAAAGATTTTAAAAAAGTAATCATAAGAACTTAATTTTACCTCTTGAATTATTTAAGAAAAGTTTTGGGTTTAAAAACATTTAACAATTAAAATTTTAATTTTTTAGTTTTTGTACATGGTTAAATGGTTAGAATTTGTACATGGTTGAATGAGTTAATGTAGAAGGTTGAATGTGTAGAATGTGTAGAGGGTTGAATGGTTGAATGTGTAGAGGGTTGAATGGTTGATTGTGTAGAGGGTTGAATGGGTTGAATGTGTAGAGGGTTGAATGGGTTGAATGTGTAGAGGGTTGAATGGTTAGTGGAGAGTGAAATGGGAGTAGAGACTTATATTTGAAGTTTAACAAATTAAAGTTCTACATCTACAACTCATTTCTTGTCACTTTTATTTCTTAATGAGATTTTAATTTTAACACTTGAATTTATTTAAAAACAATTGCGTCTAAGAAGCTCGTACAATTGAAAGTTGAAATGTTGTTAAAACTATATATATGTAATATTGCTATCATATGATTTATAATAAAAAAAAATGTGAATTTTGATATGTTGTTTGAAAAAATTGAACTACAAATAAAAAAACTATAATACTTGACAAAAATTATTATGTTTTGTCTGCCCTACCCTTTTTATTCCTTTCACACAAAATGTTGTTGCCTCTAGCAGCTTAGTAGGTTGCTGATCACCAAAACGAGGAAACTGCTCGCCAAAAAAGAAACTCTCATTGCTTTTAAAATGACATAATGTTTTATTTGTAATCTAATTTTTATTTGAGGTATATTAAAATTCATAATTTTTTTATGATTTTCATTATGACACCAATGTTAAGTATATAAAGTTTAAAAGTAGTGTTTTAATTCATTATACTCATCTATTCGATAATAAACCATCTCGTACGTTTTTAAGGGGTTGAAAAGGGGGGAAGTGTTGGGAGTTCAATGTTTGCTGCATTCATTGAATTGGGGTAGCAGTTTGCTACGCAAAAGGAAAGAAAAGGCAAAATCTCATTTTCCGTTACAATTTTGTATTTTCTATTTGTACTCCTACTTATACGAAAAGTATATCAAAATTCATAATTTTTTATGATCTTTCATACGGAGTATGATTTCTACATTGCATATTTAAAGTTTAAAAAATTATAAATTTTTAATAGCAAATGGTTTTCTGACCTACAATTTTTTTTAAATTGTTTCAAATACTCCGTAGTAAAATTAAGATCTCATTGTTAAATTATTTTTTATAGCTTCAACTATTTCTTTTAAAAATAGGTCCGAAATAACAATAAAAAAATTAAACACCAAATGCTATTATGCTCATTCTACATCCTATTCTACAAATTTCTTGTTGGAAAATGCGTTAATAAATTGTATGAAATGGTCACATGTTGGGGCATTTTTTTGAGCGGGGTCCACTTATGATTTGGATCGGGTCAAAATGGTTCCGGATTGTTCTTACTTAGGGCTACAATTCGATATATAATACGCTCAAAACGGATAACGGGTGAACGAGAAATTGATTCTCAAAGTCACTCGTTGGAATGCTACTACGGCAGGAGGCTGCTGCTCCCGGTGCAGCCCCGTTGGCACGAGGCTGCTGCTCCAGGTGCAGTCCCGTTGGCAGGCGGCTGCTGCCAGGACGTTACATCATTAAGGCCATTAACGTCCAATGTTCATGTCCATTAAACACCCATTAACACACCTCCAAATCCTTCCCATAAGTAGCTAGCACGTGATTTACAACGATACACCACTCACAAACGTAGGCTGCTGCAGACGTCCCAGCAGTAGGCTGCTGCGGACTGTCCTGCCGGCAGCAGGCTGCTGCGGACTGTCCTGCCGGATGTGAGCTGCTGGAGCAGCCAGCTGCTGCTCCATTTCAACAGGTAAACTTCGAAAATCGATATCTCATTCACCCGTTATCCGTTTTGAGTGTACCACGTATCGAATTGTAGCCCTTAGCAAGGACAATCCAAAACCAATTAGACCCAACCCAAATCGGAAGTGGACCCCACTCAAAAAAAATTCACCAAAATGACCATTTAATGCAATTTACTAACACATTTTCCAACAGTAAGTAGAATGAGTGTAGAATGGATAGAAGATTGTGTAGAATGGGTAGAATATCACTAAAGAATGGGTAGAATACCATTAAAGTAATAGTTAAAAATCTTTTCCCTCATGATCGAATGTTTGATTTTATGGTAATTATAAAATTGAACTAGTATTATAATGATATATATATATATATATATACATACGTTTTTGTGATTGTTTCTAAATAGAGAAATGTGTAGAATATGATGTAGAATGAACAAAATATCATTTAGTGTTTAATTTTGTTGTTATTTCAAACCTATTTTCAAAATAAACAGTTGAAGCTATAAAAAAGTAATTTAACAATGAGATATTAATTTTACTATTTGAATCAATTGAACAAAAATTGTAGGTCGGAAAACGTTTTGCTATTAAAATTTTATATTTTTGTAAAACTTTATGTATGCAAACAATATCATGTTTACAGGACAAATTTTTAAAATGCCCCTAAAAGAGATTTTTTTATCAAAGTGACCTCATAATGTTTATTATTATTAGGGGCATCCTTCACAAATCAAACTTTTTCTTCTCTTCCGATGGATGCCCTTCTCCTAGCGTATATTCTCCTCCATGAAGCGTTCGAACAAGCTATGCTTTGAAGTTTGAACTTCATTGGAACACGTTCAAATCTTCCTCTTTGAGTTCAACGTAGCTCACCAATCACCAGCACCTTCTTCTTTAGCATCTCCATTGTCGACATTCTCCCTTCCAACGGATATATGGTACGCTCAAAACGGATAACGGGTGAATGAGAAATTGATTCTCGAAGTCACTCGTTGGAATGCCGCTCGGGCAGGAGGCTGCTGCTCCCAGTGCAATCCCGTTGGCAGGAGGCTGCTGCTCCAGGTGCAATCCCATTGGCAGGCGGCTGCTGCCAGGATGTTACAGCATTAAGGCCATTAACGCCCAATGTTCATGTCCATTAAACCTCCATTAACACACCTCCAAGTCCTTCCTATAAGTAGCTAGCAGGTGATTTACAACGATACACCACTCACAAACGTACTCACATTGTTTGAGCTCAAAAAACTCTGGCTTTCCAAAAACTTCCTCTGTGTTCTTGCTTTGTTCACGTTCGTCGGAAGTCATTTGAATGAGTAGAAGTAGATGGTAGAATGAGTATAGTATGTACTATGTAGGAGTTAAATGTAGTTTTTAATTGCAAGTGGTTTCGAAATCCAAATATTTTCTTAAACAAATTGAATAGAAAAAACTAAATTTTTAATTTCACCTTGATATTCAATCTCATTACTTAGGCTATCACTCAACTTTTATACAGTGCAAAACTTCAACCACTTTACATCCTACACCATTTACTACTCATTGTATGCTAAATTCTACCCTTAAAAAACATAAATAACATTTTCGATCATCATGTTCTACCCATTTTCAACCATCATGATAATTTCAATCATATAAAATACTCAGAAATACTTAGTAACATAATCAAGCACATAAAAGCTACTCGACATAAATCGTAATTATACATTCACTAAATAAATAAAATACATATAATATACAAACTATGGTTTGTTTTTAATCTCCTTACAAATGTGATATGCAATTTGTAACCTAAGTCTTTTCATATCTTCCCTCCGAAGCCCCTTCAAGCTGTCAAATCCAACACCTTGCATATCAAGTTCAATAAACTTTAATGCAAAAACACCACAATCATTAGTTGTTTGTTGTGGAACACAAGGTCTACACACATCCCATATTGGCTTTGTAGTCATTGTATGTGAGTCGAGTCCAGAAGTCATTGCTAAAACAGGAAATATCCTCCGAAGACGACTCAACAAAATATCAAGATAACTGTCCGTGCAGTGTGACTTGAGTGAATCAAACACAGTCAAACACCCTGTATCAAAATCTGCTCTAATCGCAACCCAATGTCCAGAATCTATACTATATGGAAAATAAACGGACCGAATCTCCTTCGTCCAAGGTTTTAAAAACGGAATTTTAAGCTCCCCTTTGATGTACTTCTCAAGACGGTCCCCAATGACAGGATATGTTATATGACTTCTTTCGCACCATGCACTGAAGTATTCATTCAAAACAAAGGTATCCATCTTCATTAAATGAGATTCATAAAATGCTCGTCTCCGCAAAACATATAAATACTCTCCCATATGCTGCAATAATAAGAAATACAACAAATGTGAGTTTCAAAATATAACAACTCCATAAATTTAGTGTGTTTGAGCACTCCAACTTACCGTTGTCTCTATCCATTCACCAGGTGTGATTAATTGAGTCCACCATCTTTTCCCTATGCCAGAAATCTCAAACCTTTCTTCCATGTGACATTCAATGCCAACTTTCTGCTCTAGCCTTTGTTGTATTAACAACTCCACAAACCTTAGCTTTTCTTCTTTTGGTGTTGATAACGAAATCACCCGTTTTGGCTTTTTTTTTTGGATTATTCCGAGTCCATGGTGTGTGTAGTAAACTAGATTCAACTTTCTTTCTACGCCCACGGCCCAATACCTAAATGTAATATTGTAAAGTAAATAGACCAAAATTATAGTGAAGGTAGTGGTGTCGTAAATTTTAATTGAAAATTCACCTCTTTTCCAACCTCTTCCTCCCCACGCACATGGTATAAGCTACTTTGTTCCCCGGCTACATTTTCATCTCTAAGATGCTGCATTTAAATTGAACTACATTACATACCCTACGGTTCAATGAATAGTGTAATGCATATAAAAGTTAGTAAAATAGGGAGTATTTTTAAGTAAGACATACGTCTTGTTCATCCAACACGAGGTCATCCGCCACCATATTATCCTCCAACGTATTTTCCTTTTCGACATTCTGCAATACATCTTACATTAATTATAATGATTAAAAGTTTACTATGATAAGTGCACCATACAAACATACCTCTCTTTTCATGGATGACATTTCACTGATTTTATTGGAGGTAACCTTCTCTACCTCTACCACGTCACCCCTCGCAATAAGCTACAAACACATTTATTGGATAATTATAATTTATTACAATATCAATGATATGTGATATTGTTTTAAAATAAGCAAGCACAATACATACCTTCTCAAGAAGTTTTATAATAACATCATTTTTGCTTTCGAATTCATCCCTCAATAAATCAATCTTCTTATGGATATACTCTTTTATGCGGTATTCTGACTCACTATCATGAGTGTGAGAGTGTCCAGAAGGTGTGGCCATGCTTTTTGGCTGAAGACAACACCCAACATGTGGGACTGGAGGTCCTTCACCAATTGATGGAGATGAGGCAGTGTCTTTTACAAGATGTGGTGCAAGGGGTACATTTTTTGGTGAGGAAGTCTTAATTTTCTTCTCGCTCCTCTTTGTATCATAATTATGTTCCCTATCATTCAATTTCACACGTAGAAAAATGTTATTTATGAAATTTAGCCGGACAAGACTTAATTTTAAGGTGACATACCTTTTTAGACTTACGGTGGTCACACATTCTTCTAGCACCTTAACATAATCATCTATCGCATCATGACGGGTACTAATCAAACTATGGAAAGTGCTCATCCATTCTGCCCGTGTCTCCACCTCATCCGGAACAAGAATACTTTGTAATTCCTGAGTTAATTGATTGAAGGTCAACACTCAAAATATAATAAACATAACCCAATTTTATGCATATATGTTGTCATATACTTACGGTCACAGAAAGCAAAGCCTCGTTAACCTCAACATTTGTTGGTTTTGTTTTGCTAAACCTTGTCTTCCATAAACAAATGCGTGGGACGGGGGGTATCATTTGAGGCCTCCTTCTTGCAAATTTAGTAGCAAAAGATGGAATGCACTCATACACAAGAATCTGCATATTCACAGACAAAAGTTTCACTAACATGATTTCAAATAGTACAATAAAGAATTTTCACATTTTTCTTACCGGTATCGCAAGTACAAATCCACCATATGTGAAAGATTTCGAGCCACCTTCGTCAAGTCGTTTCATCTTCCCACAAAGGTTCTTTTCCAACACCTTAAGAGAATGCATAAAAGCCCATGTTCCCCAAGGAAAGGCATCAAAGTCTTCTTTATATGCAGCCTTTGCAAGCATCCACTCTGGAATTTGTGCTTTCCTATCTTCCTTGGCATACAATACCATGACTACGAACATTAACTTCGCCATAGCAATCACGTTTTTTTTTGCATTCTCGTTTTTTTCTTTGCGGAGATTCTTACAAAGTTGTGTGAACCTATTTACTACACTATGATAATTTACCACATCACAACTTTCTTCACAAATTGCCTCTGGCCAGTGAGTTTCAACAAAAGATGCCCAACTTTCTCCATCAACCTCTACTTTTGCGTCATCCCAATTTGGATTGAGAAATGAACACTTCAACCCTGTGATAAGTGCAAACTCTGACAAAGAATATCTAATGGGTGTTAGGTATTGGCCCACTTATTTTTCCCTAAGTCCAATATTGGTATGGTTGCACCAGACCCATTCTTAAATCCATCCATTTGCACCGACTTGTCTCTTGATCGGCTTACTCCCTCTGGTGCGATTCTTTCCTTGTTCCAGCCAGTGCTATTCTGGCATCAATCCCTTGAAGGTAAGTTGCCTTCTATAGTTTATTGCTTCTCCTATTTAAGCTATTCTCTTCCCTGTCGATTGGGCTGGCCGATACTCTTTTCACGCACCTCGTCCCTTTGCTCCTCGGTGGAGCCAAAACTGATTTGGCCGGAAATAAGGTTGAAGGCTGACGCCCAATTCCCCCTTTAGTGATTCTTAGTGGTTTATCATCCTTTGTGGATGAAGATTGAGACCTGAGCTGGAAGAGTAGCCATCTTACAGTGGTATCAGAGCCGGGAGAGGTCTGCCGCCGCCACGCCGCCGCCTGCCGCCGCGTCGACGCCGTCCGCTGCTGTCCAGAAGTCACCGGAGGTCCAGGGGTGCTGCCGCCGTCTGCCAGGAGCCAAACCAGCCAGCCAGAGCTTCTGCCGGAGTCCAGAAGCTGCTGCCATCACCGGTCCAGCCCTGCTGCCGCCGGTTCAGTCTGCTGCCGCCAGTCCAGTCCATTGCCGCCGTGCTCTACAGCAGCCCACGCTGCCTACGGTAAGTCGGGTAACCCAACCTCGGGCCCCGCTCAGGTAAATTGGCGATAAACACCCTTGGAGTACCAGAGTGCCACCGGATTTTTTATTCCCCCGCTCCCCCGCTGCTGACCTGCGTGGTCTTGGAAGCCGGCTGTGCCCGGCCCCTGGTACGTTTACTAATCCTTTGTGTGATTCTTATTCGTAGTTCATTTGTTTTAATTTCAAGTTGAATTGCTCTTTGCTTGTTAGTTGAATTGTGATTGCTTGTTTGTTGGTCCGTGGATTAATTTTCCGTTGAAGAATATTTTGTTTGGATACTCGTTGTCCAAAGTTGTGAATATTTCTTCCGGTTTAAATTTAATCCGTTTGAATTTTGTTTTTTCTGTTGATTGATTTGTGGATTAATTTTCCGGTTAAGAGTATTTTGTTTGGATACTTGGTGTCCAAAGTTGTGAATATCTCTTTTCGGTTTAAATTTAATCCGTTTTAAGTTTTGATTTTTCTGTATTGATTCGTGGATAAACTCTCCGATTAAGAATATTTGTTTGGATACTTGTTGTCCGAAGTTGGGAATATTTCTGTCCGGATTAGTTTTAAATCCAGTTTCTTTGCTTATTGATTTAATTCTAGCCTATTTGTGCTTGTACGAAAGAACAAGGAGATTGTACCCCGAGCTTTGTGTTCATTGGTCTTCTCGGCTTGTTCGTGCTAGTTGCTTCGTACAATTGATAGCCCTATAGGTTATAATTAATCATTTATCTGTCTGTTGAGTAAATAAAAATTTTATCTTGCTTGTACGAAAGAACAAGGAGATTGTACCCGAGCCTTGCGTTCATTGGTCTTCTCGGCTTGTTCGTGCTAGTTGCTTCGTACTATTCTTTGCTTGATAATTTTTATTTACTCTCTTGCGTGTTGTGCTTGCTTTCCGGTTAATATGGCTGTCAATCAATATGGCATGCTTCCATTTAACGGAAAGACAGATTTTGATATCTGGAAACAGAAAATCAAATGTGTGTTGATCCAACAGAAAGTCTATAGAGCAGTGACTGGTCTCTATTTAGACTCTGAGGATGCTGCTAAGCGCGATGAAATGAATGAAACTGCTTGTTCCTCTATATACCTGAACCTTTCTGATTCAGTACTCAGGAAGGTGGGTATTATAGATTCTGCAAAGGCTTTGTGGGACAAGTTAGATAAGACGTATACCGATACTTCTTTGCCTGGTAAATTGTTTTTGCTTGAGAAGTTCTTTAGATTTAGGCTTGACCTGTCTAAGGACATAGATGAGAACCTAGATGTGTTTAACAAGCTTATTCAGAATATTAAGCAAGCCGGTGATAAACACATAGATGACTACACACCCATAGTGTTACTTAATGCCATCCCTGACTCATACAATGACGTCAAATCTGCCATAAAGTATGGTAGAGATGATATCTCGTTGGATGTAGTCATTAATGGATTAAGGAGTAAGGAGTTAGACCTTAGACACTCGAGGGGTAGTAACAGTCAGTCTAGGGACTCAGGTGAAGCGTTGTTTGTGAGGGGTAGGTCTAAGAGTAGATCTAGAAACCATAAGAAGGGCAACAACGATAAGAACAAAAACAATGACCCGGGGAAGAAGAGAGGTAAGTCTAAGAAGAGAGTGTGCTATAATTGTGGTAATTCTAGTCACTTCATTAAGGATTGTCCCCATCCGAAGAAGTCTGAACATGCTAATGTGGTAGATGATAATAACTTGCATGAAGAAGTTTTTATGATTTGTGATTCTGCCAATTCTGTGTTGAGTAGCATGACTGAAAATGAGTGGTTGATTGACTCTGGTTGTACTTATCATATGACACCTTTTAGATCCTTGTTTGCTTCTTATGATTCTTGCAATGATGGTTTTGTGTCTCTTGCTGATAATAAGAAATGCAAAATACATGGGGTGGGTGATGTATGTTTGAAGTTTGATAATGGGACTGTGTTTACTATGAAAAATGTGAGGCATGTTCCTGATTTGCGTCATAACTTGTTTTCTGTCGCTGCTTTTGAGGGTAGTGGATTAGAGGGTAAATGGGGTAATGGGTGCATGAAAGTTTTGAAAAATTCCCTTGTTTTGTTTAAGGCAAAAAAGGTGAATAACTTGTATGTGTGCCATGCTCAGCCTTTCTGTGATTCTGCTCATGTTGTTAGTTCTGATAAATCTGCTTTGTGGCATAATAGATTAGGACACATGAGTAATAGGGGTTTAGAGATTTTGCATAAATCTGGTTGTTTTGGTAAGGATTCTGTGTCCCCCATCCCCTTTTGTGAATCTTGTGTGTTAGGCAAGCAGCATAAGGTTACATTCCCCTCCTCCCCATATCTTAATCCTACTAAGTGTACCTCTGTGTTAGAGTATGTTCATGCTGATGTGTGGGGTCCTGCTAGTGTCTCTACCCACGGGGGTAAGAGATATTTTCTGTCCATCATTGATGATTTTTCTAGGAAGGTGTGGGTCCGTCTCCTTGAGCATAAGTCCGATGTCTTTGTGAAGTTTAGGGAGTGGAAAAACCTTGTAGAAAATCAAACTGGTAAGAAGGTCAAAACCCTTAGGACAGATAATGGTCTAGAGTTTTGCAATAAGGACATGGACCAACTGTGTGTTGATTGTGGGATTAGAAGGCACAAAACTGTGCCCTATACTCCCCAACAAAATGGGATAGCCGAGAGGATGAATAGGACTGTTCTAGATAAGGTTAGGAGTATGCTTACCACCGCCGGTTTGTCTAAAAAGTTTTGGGGTGAAGCAGTTAACACTGCTGTCTACTTGATTAATCGGTCTCCTTCTGTTCCCTTGGGTGGGAAGTGCCCTGAATCTGTTTTTTCAAACAAACCCCTTGATTTGTCTAATCTTAGAGTGTTTGGGTGTGCAGCGTATGTGCACCAACAAGGTGACAAGTTGGATCCTAGGTCTAAGAAAGGAGTCTTCCTAGGTTATCCCGAGGGTGTGAAGGGGTATAGGGTTTGGGATAGGAACCAGGTAGGTTTCAAAGTTGTGGTGAGTAGAAACGTTGTTTTCAATGAATCCGAGTTTCCTTGTCTGGTTAAGTCAGTTCCTGATTCTGAGTCTGATCCTAGTAGTACACCCGTTGAGGTGGAGTCCATACCACATGCTGCTAGCCCTTTGTTTGCTAATCATGATAATGTTGTTTTGCATGATTCTAATTCTTCTGAATTGCATGATTCTGATTCTTCTGAGCATGATACTACCACCACTTCGAGTGAGGTGGAGCATTCTCATGTGCATTCAAATGACAATGAATCGCATGATGAGAGTGCGGATGCCAGTGAGAATGATTTGCATGATTATCAACTTGTTAGAGATAGAAGTAGGAGGGTAATTAGGAGAACTGCTGATAGTATGCCTGATTATGCTTTCCATATGTGTGATACTTCTATGTTTGCTTTCTCTGTGTTTGAGACCCTTGAGCTTAACGAACCTAGAACCTATAGAGAGGCCCTTAAGTCTAATGAGTCCGCTAAATGGCTTTGCGCCATGGAAAGTGAGATGGAGTCACTTAGAGCGAATAAGACTTGGACGTTAGTTCCTAGACCGCCCAATAGTTCCGTTGTTGCCTGTAAGTGGTTGTTTAAGGTTAAGGAAGAGCCTAACGACATTAGATATAAGGCTAGGTTAGTAGCTAAGGGATTTACTCAAAAGGAAGGTGTTGATTATGCTGAAATCTTTGCTCCTGTAGTTAAATTTACTACGATTCGTATGATGCTTGCTCTTGTTGCTCATAATGATTGGGAAATGAAGCAAATGGACGTCACCACTGCGTTCTTGCATGGTGATTTAGACAAAAAAATCTATATGTCCCAGCCTGAGGGCTTTGTGGATCCCATGAAGAGTGATCATGTGTGTTTGCTTAGGAAGGCCTTGTACGGCCTGAAGCAGTCCCCGAGGCAGTGGAATATCAAATTTGACCAGTGCATGTCATCTTTGAAATTTCACAAGTCCGAATGCGACCATTGCCTATACTTTAAAAATACTTCTTCTGTGCCTGTATTTTTATTGCTATATGTTGATGACATGTTGATTGTTAGTCCTTCGGGTGACGCCATTAAATGTGTGCAAAAGCGTCTCAGTGAGAACTTTGCTATGAAAGACCTAGGTGATGCCAAAAGGATCCTAGGCATTAACATTGTTAGGGATAGGAGTAAGCGTGTGTTAGTTCTCAATCAGATTTCATACATTGAAAAGATTTTGAGTAAATATAACATGCATTCTGCTACTCCCGTTTCTATCCCGATGGCGTCTCACTTTGTGTTAAGTAAGGATCAGTCTCCCAAGACTGCTCCTGAAATTGCTAAAATGAAATCTGTGCCTTATTCCAATGCTATTGGGTCCGTGATGTATCTCATGGTGAGTACTAGACCCGACATTGCCTATGCTGTTAGTTGCTTGAGTAGGTATATGTCTAATCCTGGTTTAGATCATTGGAATGCTCTTAAGTGGTTGCTTAGGTACTTGAAATCCTCTGTTAATCATGGGTTGGTTTTCACTAGGTGTTCTGAGGGGGTTAAGTTGAATGGGTATGTGGATTCGAATTTTGCTAACGATAGAGACAATAGGAAATCCACTACCTCTTATGTGTTTACTCTTTGTGGGTCTTGCATTAGTTGGAAGTCTCAGCTTCAACCCATAGTTGCCCTATCCACCACTGAGTCGGAGTATGTGGCCGCTACCGAAGCGTTTAAGGAAGCCATTTGGCTTAAACGTCTCCTAACGGAGATTGGTAGTCTTAAGCAGGACATTTGTGTGTTTTCTGATAGTCAATCTGCTATTCAATTGTGTAAAAATCCTGTTTTTCATGATAGAACTAAGCACATTGATGTTAGATTTCATTTTATACGTGATATTGTTAGTGCAGGTCATATCAAGTTGATTAAAATTCCGTCGGAATTTAATCCTGCTGACATGGGGACTAAATGTCTCTCGGTCGAAAAGTTGTTGTCATGCAAACGCACGTTAAACATTGATTGCGGATAAGTTGCCTGGTGATCTTACCCTTTTTTGCCTGAATATGTCTTTGTGATTATTCGGGCAATCCAGCGATGATGAGTCTCATATATGTATTAGAGTTTTGACTCTACACCACTAGGGTCCAATAAGGTGGAGAATGTGTTAGGTATTGGCCCACTTATTTTTCCCTAAGTCCAATATTGGTATGGTTGCACCAGACCCATTCTTAAATCCATCCATTTGCACCGACTTGTCTCTTGATCGGCTTACTCCCTCTGGTGCGATTCTTTCCTTGTTCCAGCCAGTGCTATTCTGGCATCAATCCCTTGAAGGTAAGTTGCCTTCTATAGTTTATTGCTTCTCCTATTTAAGCTATTCTCTTCCCTGTCGATTGGGCTGGCCGATACTCTTTTCACGCACCTCGTCCCTTTGCTCCTCGGTGGAGCCAAAACTGATTTGGCCGGAAATAAGGTTGAAGGCTGACGCCCAATTCCCCCTTTAGTGATTCTTAGTGGTTTATCATCCTTTGTGGATGAAGATTGAGACCTGAGCTGGAAGAGTAGCCATCTTACAATGGGCAATCCATTAACAACAAACCACATCTCTTTCTCCCTTTTTGTGGAAGACTCTCTAACTAGAAGTTGCCACATCACACCAGATGAATGGACATAATCTTGAATGTCTAAGTATGCTCCAAATATGGTTTTCCGAAAATCATCTAACACATCCAAGTCATTGATTAAATCAGTCTTCATCCTGTCTTGAAAGCCTTCCAAGGAGGACTTAACACCGATTTTCATCTTTGGAAAAACATAATCATCAGGAACAATGGTTTCTAATTTAGGAACTTCAAAAACCTATACATAAAATTGAAAAGTAGTCATATGAGAATATATGTAACTAAATGTAGTTTTAGAAAATGTTTCTACCTATTTGACCTCTACGACCAAAATATATGTTACTAAATTCTTCGAATAGAATAATTTCGAACTACATTTTACACCAGTACTTTTCAGTTCTTGCTGTTTTCCACCTTTTCTACCAATACTTTTGACCCAAATTTTTTACTCTAACATGGAGACTCTACCCTCTGCAAGTAAGCTCATACGATAGTATATTTTTTCCTCATACTTTGTCCGTACTTTTGACTCTATTACTGACTTTATTAATTTAATAAAGAGTTATCCGGTTCAGTCCTATGTAATTTCGAGCCTATAAGCTCAACCCTAATTAATCTAATGTATTTTCTACCCTGTTTTGGAACCCTATTATCTACCCTATTTTCGACCCATGTTTTCTACCCTATTTTCGAGCATACGGCAGTGCATAAAAGTTGACCTTTGCTGTACTCAAAATTCAACCCCTGAGTAAGTTCATGTTGAGAAACTTCATGCAATATATATGTGGATAAAGAAAGTTATGAAAATGAATACATACCTTTGATTTTTCTTCTTCAATGTTTTCATGAAGTGAAGTTGAAGGATTTTTCTTTCTCATAATGACCAGTGATTTGGAGGTGTTCAACTTTGTCAAAAATTGGGGAAGAGAATAGGAAGAGTAAGAGAAGAAAGAGGTAGAACGATGGCTGAGAGCTAGAGACGGCTGGACGGCTAACCTTGAGGGAGCAGGTGAGTTGAAGCTTCGGCTAGCAGGCTTCAAGCCTTCAATATTAGATCTTCAGAAATCATGTTTCAGGTCTTCTAATTCTCCAGGCGAGCCGCGAGCACAGAATCGCAGATCCAATTCGACCTTCACGTTTTTCCAAGTCTTCTGTTTTAAACTTCCCGCGGTCTTTTCTTTTTACTTTTCTTAATTTTTTGTTTTTAGTTTTTATTTTCAATTGTCAGTCAACGTCATCTAGGAATTATTAAAGTAGTGAAATATAATAAATTGTACGGAGTATGTGTGTAACACAATATGACATTAAATGTGAAAGTATAATTATATACGGTATTGATTTACTCAAATAATCTCATTTAGGTGTAGTGCATTGAGCCTTCTTTATTTAATCATTATCTTCTCTCTGACATATCTTCAAAAAAAATCTTCTCTTTGACATATAGAGGCACGCATTTCTAGTTTTAGAGTTTAAAATCTGAAACCGTACACCGAGTATATACTTTTAACAAAATCATGTTTTTTGTTTTTGATTTTATAGTGCTTATACATTTATTTTTTGCATTATTATTTATTCAAAAACATAGGCAAACAACTGATTTGTAATAATACAAGTAAGATTTTAATTTCGAAAACTGATTAGAACAAGTAATATTAATTCAAAACATCTACCACGATGGTTTGTAGACTATGTAGCACTGATACCGGTACGCGGAAACGCGGAAACGGGTACGGGGATACGTCAAAACAAAAAAAAGTAGGATACGGATACGGGGCCATATTTATAAATATTAAAAGTTATGGGGGTGTATTTACAAATATTAAAAGTTATAGGGGTTTATTTATAAATATTAAAAATAGATTTTTTTGAATATATATATATATATACACACACATATATATATACATCTAATATCCTATGATGTCTACCCATTCATTGCATTGAAACATTTAACATTTTCCTTTTTCAAGATAGTTAGTAATAAATTCAGAATATTTCTCATATACACTGAGTACGTATATTGTACAACCGGTTGTACGGTGAGCACCGTACAGCCGGCCCAATAACAGGTCCAGGGAGGAAATAGCAAAATAATTCGGTGGCATTTTTGTAATAATGTGAAAATCGCGGTTTCTACTAAATGAGCATTAGTGTACTGTTATTGAGCAATAATCCAAATTTGATGAGTATTAAGCGTCTAATAATGAACACCATGTTATTAAAAGAAAGCTGATATCAGAACAAAAAAACGGTGGCATTTTCGTAATTTCAGAGAAAATCGCGGTTTTCGTTATATGAGCATTAATACACTTTTAATGAACATCAGACGTATTCTACTATGCTTTAAGAGTCAAATAATGAGCTTCGTGATCTCTCCTTCATATCTTGTAATTCACTTTCTTTTTCTTTTATAAAAACTTATTAAATTATATCTATGATGAACTTCTATAAACTTCAATATGCAAATTTAATGTAATATGGTACTTTTGAAATATGCATTGATATGTCATTTTAAAAATGAGCATAATATTAGTATCAAATGAGCATACACAACTTTCAAAATGCGCACAATTCCAAATATGAAAATCGTAAGATTTGTTAGTTGGACGTCACGACATTTTCATTGAGCATCAAACCTTCTATATTGAGATGAAAATAACGGTTTTTGTTAAATGAGCATTAATGAACTTTTAATTAGCATTAGACCTATTTTGTTGAGTATTAGAAGTCTAAATAATATTGAGCATCATAATTTCTGTTTCATATCTTCTAATTCACTTTCTTTTACAGAAACTAATTTAATGTAATATGATACTTTTGAAATATTCATTGATATTTCAAAATGTAGCTATTTTGTTTTGGGGAATTGAGCATATGTAGCTAACAAAATAAGCATTATTATGAAAATAATAAGCTTTGTTAGTTGAGCATGAAGACATTTTTCATTGAGCATTAAACCTTCTCTATTGAGTATTAGAAGCGTGCAATTGTGTACTAATTGAGCATTCATAAATTATAAAATGAGCATTAGTAAGAAAATCATAAGTTTTTTTGTTGATTGAGCATCAAGACATTTTCGTTGAGCATCAAATCGCATCTATTGAGTATTAGAAACATGCAATTGAGTATCATGATTTGTGCTCTCGTATATGTAATTAACTCCTACTTGAATCTAATATAATATATTACTTTTGAAATATGGATTGATATAACATTTAAATATGAACATAACATCAGTACCAAATAAGCATACATAACTTACCAAATGATCAATGATATGAAAATCATAATCTATGTTAGTTGAGCATCAAAACATTTTCATTGAATATCAAACATTCTTTATTGAGTATCTGAAGCATGCAATAGGGTATCATGATCACCGCTCCCATGTACATAAAATAACTCCAATCTTATGCGAATCTAATATGAAACTTAAATTTTGAAATATGTAATGATATGACATTTTAAAATGAGCATAAAATCAGTATCAGATGAACATATGTAACTTACAAAATGAGAATTGATATATAATTTAACTTACAATGAGTAATATCATAATTTTAAATAAAAAATAACATATACGGAGTAGTATTTTGTTCTTGAATTATAAATATAATCGAGTTTTTTTAATGATATTTACTCGTGCACATTTATTTAACACTATACTCATTTTAGTATAATACAAAACTCATGTTAATAATTAACACGTAATATATATATATATATATATATATATATATATATATATACATTAAACTAACAAATATTCATTTTAAAGTTAAAAATAGAAGAACAAAACATTAATACCTAAAATATTTTATAATGCATAAACTAAAAAAAATTAAATTAGAATTTTGATTAGAAAAAGAAGAAAAAGCATTGAATAAAAATTAAATAAAAAATATTACTCGGTAACAACAAAAGCAATGAAAACTGAAAAGTTACAAAAGTGAAAAGCAAGAAAAGAAAGTCAAAAGCAACGAAAACGAAAAGAAAGAGAAAACAAAAAACGAAAAGGAAGGAAAATCAACAAGAGTCGTAGCAGAAAAAGAAAACCAGCAGCGATCATGCACCTAACGTTTACCCTATAGATTGAACTTAATTACAAAAAAAACCCGGCTGTACCTAGCGCATGGTACAGCCGGCTGTACAATATATATTACGCATATACACTAGTGTATCTCGAAATATAAATGTACTCAATAAGTCATTAATTTAAAATGAGAAATAACTCTAACAACTACAACCTTGAAATTAAAAGTGCAAGTACCCAATTCGGAGTATGAGTTAATGACTTAATTCGGATATAGCCATATAGGTCCATTATTTGATTACCAAGTAAAATGTAGTTTTGGATTTTCATTTTTTTTTTAGAATTTTATTAAGTAAATTTTGGGATTTGTTTTTTAAAAAAAGTTGATACGGGTATCCGTCAGGATACGAGTATCGGAAACTTTCAAAAAATTACAAAAAAATGGAAACTTTTAAAAATTGCAGATATGGCCCGGGAACGTACGGTACGGGTATCCTAGATGTTAAGATCCGGGGTTCCATCCTAAAAGGTCAACCTGTTAGGAGGAGTAGCCCGAAGCTTAATATAGCACTCTAGTGCTTCTCAATTTTCCGGTGTGGGACATTTAACACCCCTCCTCACGACCAGACACTTCGTCTGGATCGTGTCGTCATTCATTTTTCATCGGTTCGTCAATTTTTTTTTATCGTGTCGTCATTTTTCATAAGGGGCCCCACACCATGGATCGATTTGGCTCTGATACCATGTTAAGATCCGGGGTTCCATCCTAAAAGGTCAACCTGTTAGGAGGAGTAGCCCGAAGCTTAATATAGCACTCTAGTGCTTCTCAATTTTCCGGTGTGGGACATTTAACACTAGAGTATCGGATACGGGAACGTATCGGATACGCCGATACGCTACCCTAGGGAAGTATCCGTGCTTCATAGTTTGTAGATGGTTGAATGAGTACAAAACCTCAATGTGTAGAGGGTTGAATAAGTAGTACATGATAGAATACGTGTATGCAAAGTTATAGTACTTTGCCGATAAAAGAGGTCTTTTAATCTATAGTCCCAAAAATATGCAAAGTTGGTGATATGCTAGTCACTCTACATCCATTCTACCGGTCATTCAACGTCGGTGAAATTCTACCCATTCTACACCCATATTTTACCCGTGATAAAAAATATAAAACATCTTCTATCATCATGTTCATGGTATTCAACCCATTCTATACATACTTATTTATATTTTTATTACGGCTAGGTAGAATATAATGTATAATGGGTACAATGGGTAGAATAATGAGAGAGAGAGAGGAATGATCCTGTGCAGTTGTCCGACCGCCGCAATAGATGTTTTTATATTTTCTTTATTACGGGTAGAATCTACTATAGAATGAGTAGAATATGGTGTAGAGAGGGTAGAATATCACTATCGATTTGTCTAAGTTTTTTTTGGATTTGTAGCTATTTTTACATATATTTTCTACTCCGCATCATTTATCTTTGACCAATTAGAATGGAGTTTCACAATCCCTATAATTATTTTCAACCAATAAAAGAGAAGGAACTCAAAACAACAAAAACAAAAGAAGCATTACATCCGAGAGTTATAGTGGTTGACATGTCTCTTGATCCTACATCTGACATTTCTGACAACCTGCACGGCTGCACCCATGCAACACGGAACAGCGACAGCCCATTCGAAAATGGGAATAAACTCTGCAGCCCTAAATACTCCGTATGTCTTTCCTCTTAGGATATTTCTCTTTCAAAAAAGGATGACACCCCATTCCTGAGGGTTCTAGGCCCCAACACGGACCGGACAGTATGATGGGAGGATGTAAGACCTGACAGATAGAGAGTGAGGCTCCGTCCCCGGTACTTGCAGAGACTCTATGCATTTTTTAGCATAGTAACCCCTTATCGCAGTTGCCGGGATTCGAACCCGAGACCTAACCCTTGTGGCACTTCCTCACTACCAGTTGAGCTACGCCCACCAGTGGATATTTCTCTTTCAAGGATGGTTGAATGAAGTTTTTAATTGCATAGGGTTTCAATCCATTTTTTAAATAGATTCAAAGGCTTAAAAATTCATATCTAATTGTTCTTTTCATCTTTCAAATTTTTAAGAGGTTTTTTCAAAAACACACCT